CGATTGATCAATTAGTTACGTAGTTATAGCCGATTCAATTTCGAGCAGGCCGAAACGGCCGCGCTCTCTGCTTCCCCCACCACCACCACCCGTACGATTTTATTGAATTTCTCACTTGCATAAATAACTTTAAACACGTTTTAAAGTAGGTTGCCAATGAAGAAAAGTATTGCAAACTTCGAAATACCAAAGGTATTTTTCGAAAAATTAGCCCGGATGTCCCAGTACATTTAGTGTAAATGACGGCTATAATAATATAATTCCAAATTTTCATAAAAATCAGATCTATCCGAAAGTATTAAGAGATTTTACTCTATTGTCTCGTCGTTCCCTGGACTATTACAAATTACAATTATTCGAATTAGCTAAATACACGAGAACTAATAACAAAACACATATTATTTTAAACAGTGTAATACGTTCAGTAATCTATGAGGGCTGGCTTTCTTCGTCAAAATGTACAAAAAAAAAAACAGTACCTAACAACTTCGCTATCCTTTCCAACGGTTTTAAAAGAGACACCGAAGCTATTTACATACCTCAGCTTACTGAAAGGATGTATCATATAGTAGTGGCTGACCAAGTGCCTGATCTCCTCCTCACGACACGACGCGTTCGACTTGAAGTACCTCCGAGTCTCGGGGTGCGACTTGCTGATAATGCACCAGGACCGAAAATTTCTTCGAACTGAAATGAAGAACCCAGTATCGATGAAATGCTTCAGGACTTCTTCCTCTGCATGCACCAAATGGCACTCGTGGTCCTCAAATTTGGTCATGTCAATGCAATGGAGGTGTTTTAACAATAATTGTAAGTAGAAATGGAGTTTATTTACTGGTTGCTATATCTTTGTTAGCTACCTGTCACTCTGACAACCGACGGGTGGCTTGGATAAATATCGTTACAAAAACTGTGTAAAAATATATTTCGCATCAAAATTCACGCACTGCCGTGGTGTGAATTGGTATTAGTCCAGTCGGTATCTGTGAAATGAAAATTTNAGAATATTTAAATAAATTTGTTTTTGATCTTTGATAAACAGTATATAAGTTTATGCACTTATCTTTGATACAATAAAAAAATAAAGTTGATAATTAAAGGAAGTTCAAAGATAAATAATTATCGGACAGTTGAAAGACCAATAATTATTAACGATAGGCATTTGAAAATCCTCTAATTATTTTTTTTTTAAATCGCAAGACGTCGATTTAAAAAAAATCATCAAAATCGGACCTCTAGAAGCTGAGATACTAAAAATTTTTAATCGCTTCACGGTTTTGAACTCGCCGATTCAACTTCGAGCAGGCCGAAGCGGCCGCGCTCTCTGCTTCCCCCACCACCACCACCCGTACGATTTTCTTGAATTCCTCGCTTGCATAAATAATTTTAAACACGTTTTGAAGTAGGTTGCCAATGAAGAAAAGGATTGCAAACTTAGACCTGGTAAGTACTCGGAATACCAAAGGTATTTTTCGAAAAATTAGCCCGGATGTCCCAGTACATTTACTGTAAATGACGGTTAACTTTGATGGGCTATAACTACGTAACTAATTGACCAAGCGATCTGTTTCTTTTTTAAAGAAGCGTCTTTCCAATAACTTTTAAAACATGCTCTAAAAAATTTGATTTGATTGAATATTCACAAAGTTCTAATTGTTTATAAGTATAAAAATTCGACCAATGTTTAAACAAGCGCCAGAGCTCTCCTAATTGACGGATTCGAATTTTTCAAAAAAAGTTTGAAAGCCTGAGAGCCCTTCTATATNTTTAAAATAACGAAATTGACAGCTGCTTCTTATATAACCGGAAGTGCTACATTGATGGCATTATTTTCATTGAAGAGAACATATCTGATAACTCCCGTAAACAAAATTTCAGAGTCATATTGTCTTTGGTTCCTCTGAAACATATAATAGGCCACTTACCGTGAAGAACTCTGTACCTATATCAAATTAATAAATAAATAAATAAATTAATTAATTAATTAATTACTAATTTTCCACATATTTTGAAAATAATTGTTGTTTAAACAATTTTAGAATATTTAAATAAATTTGTTTTTGATCTTTGATAAACAGTATATAAGTTTATGCACTTATCTTTGATACAATAAAAAAATAAAGTTGATAATTAAAGGAAGTTTAAAGATAAATAATGTATCGTACTGTTGAAAGACCAATAATTATTAACGATAGGCATTTGAAAATACTCTAATTATTTTTTTTTAAATCGCGAGACATCGATTTAAAAAAAATCATCAAAATCGGACCTCTAGATCTAGAAGCTGAGATATTAAAAATTTTTAAGCGCGTTGCGGTTTTGAACTCGCCGATTCGCTTCGAGCAGGCCGAAGCGGCCGCGCTCTCTGCTTTCCCCACCACCACCACCCGTACGATTTTCTTGAATTTCTCGCTTGCATAAATAATTTTAAACGCGTTTTAAAGTAGGTTGCCAATGAAGAAAAGTATTGCAACCTTAGACCTGGTAAGTACTCGGAATACGGTTTCGAAAAATTGGCCCGGATGTCCCAGTACATTTACTGTAAATGACGGTTAACTTTGATTGGCTATAACTACGTAACTCATTGACCAATCGATCTGTTTATTTTTTAAAGAAGCATCTTTCCAATAACTTTTAAAACCTGCTTTAAAAAATTTTAGTTGATTGAATATTCACAAAGTTATTCTAATTGTTTATAAGTACAAATATTCGACCAAAGTTTAAACAAGCGCCAGAGTTCTCCTAATTGACGGATTCGAATTTTTCAAAAAGGTTTGAAAGCTTGTGAGCCCTTCTATATGTGATTAAATTTTCAAGATCTAAGGGCCTTGGTTTTTGCTGTGCAAAATTTTGAAAATTTGCAAATTTTTTTTCAAAATCTTGGACTGCAAAATTATTATGCAAAATCTATAGAACCGATTTTGATGAAATTTGGTGTGATGATTCTACATAACATGAACTTTTCTTGAGCCAAGTATGAAGGTATTATACCCAATTTAAAGACCCCAAAAAAATTCCCTAAAAAGTAAAATTTTTTAACCCCTTTTTTGGCGCCTTTTTTATTTTTACAATAATAATTATGATTCATTCAATTTGCAACTAATCGTATTTTGTAAAATTTAATTACAAAAATTTTTTTCCTTTTCCATTTTCGCCTAAAACCAACTCTTGAAAAGATACATAATTAAATAGGAAGAAAAATATGACATTTTTCGATTTTTTTTAACATATTGTGCCGCAAAATGTTAAGCCCAGTGATATTTGAAAGCCAAAAAGCCAAAAATCTCCGTGGATATACGATTCACCCAAACCAAAACAGATAACGCCTAGTCTATATGGTGTATTCGTCAGCCAACTGTGAATGACGTCAGCAGAGAACTGCAGACTTTTTTGGCTCTAATAATAGTTTGTTGTATAATACAGGGTGTTTCTTAATTAGAGATAAAAATCCAAGGGCGTATTCTGTAGTAAAATATAAGTTTTTTTTTTTGTTAAATAAATGTGGGTCTTAAGACAGCCATTGTTCAGCTACAGCGTGTCAAAAATTAAAAAAAAAATCAGTTATTAGTTTTTAATTTCTAAACCGCTCGAGATAATTTAACCAAATTCGGTGTGCATATTTAGTATGACAGTAGGTATGAAATAAAAACAATACCAGCTCTAGAAACTTACCAGTGGCGGAAGTGTGGGTATCATCGATAATTATTTGCCAAAAAAAAAATATCTCACCCTGTAGGGGCACTTTGCATGTCTTTAAAATGTCGTAACTTTTTTTCACCTCGGTATATCTGCCTCTAATACTGTTTTTAGGTTCCTGTTGCTTTGTAAGTGTTGCTATTTTCGAGATATTTACCTTTAAGTTGAAAGGGAAAAAAGGAAACTTTCGAATATGTTTATTTTCCCACCAAATTACAGTAACTTAACACAATAAACTAAACTTCATATAACTCTCAACTAACAAACGTCTCGTTTCTAACATTTACGTATGAGTAATGGCCTTATGCAGCCTCTCTGCAGCTAGCAGCATAAGTTGGTCCTTGCATTCGGGATATGGGTCGATTGCCTCCAAAAAATCGGTACGCCTCAACGTGAACAGTTCGCTGGCCGTGACTGCTACGACGTTGGCTACTCGAGTCTCGCTAAGGATCAGGGCTATCTCGCCGAAGTGGGCGCCGTCCTCCAGATGGCAAATCTGGAAAAGTTAATGCCACGACTTTAATTTATCCATAGGTTAAACCAGAGAGGCCCAGGACCACCTGACGTCGCATACGCAGGTAAAATTTAAAGTCAAGCCATAGAAGAATAATTTATCCAGCAACAGACCATGAGCAAGTCTGTCAAAAGCTTTTGACAGATCAATATACAGGGTGTCCCGGAAATGGTGGGCAATCTCTCGGATATGGATAGATAATGAGAAAATAATGTCACAAGTTCATATAAAATTTTTTCCTCCGGACTCACCCTGTAGAGTTATTAGCTCTTGAAGTCGAGAATTAAAAATGGTTTTTTTGCTGTAACTTTTGCATTTTTCAATAAATTTTGAAAATTTTTTGGCTGGTTCTATAATTTTTGAATCTGCTTTGGATGATAATATGAAATCCTCGATAATAATTATGGGGGCCCGGGGGCAAAGCACCCCCCACCAAAATTTCTAGAAAAATTTTTTTTTCCACTATACCCCAAATTTTCCATCATTTTATAAAAATTTATATTATACGTAAAAAAGGTATACTTGTTGAATATCCATAAAATAGATATTTTTTTAGATAAACCGCTAAATCGAGATGAAACTTCACAGGGTTCTTCTGGGTATATCGAACTGTAAAAGTCATGCTTAATATTAGTCATTTCGTGAATATTTCTAATTTAGGTGTCAATTTTCTAAAAAAACATAAATTACCCTTTTTTCCTGTTTTTTAAAGTTCGTGTAAAAGATGAAAAAATTTGTTTTTTCTGAAAAATTGCGGCAGCATGTTCCAGTTTTCGAAACTGCTCTTCAATTCTCTCTATGACCATTAAAATTCCGATATTTCGATGACAAATGGTCGTATCGAAATTTAAAAAAAATGAAATTCAGGCTGAATAAACAAGCTATCTGGTCCATTCAATGGCTTAGCTGAAAAAAAATTGTCCAAATCCGTGGACTTATGCATTTTTTTGTCGCGTTATTATCTTAGAGCTTCAAAATGCTTGTTTTTAATTCCCGATTCGACCATTTTTCACCTAAATACAGTCTGTCAAAAATCACGGAAAATTTCGGAAATTCTTTTAATCTTTTAATTTTTTGCATTAGTTTATGACATCAAATTGATATCCCTTATCCAAGATTTCTGTACTGATCAATGCATACCAGATTTGGTACTGTTGATCTAGTAGTAGTATATGGAATATTAAAGATCTTAAAGATAAATTGAAAATAGAAGTTAAATATGAAATTTACATCACTTTGGATCGCACACGACACGAAACCAAATTGTTAAGAATTAACGTTAACGTTACTGTCCACCAATCCAATACGGACAAATCCACAAATCGCTATTTACTCTCCACGTGACGTCATAGCATGGCCGGGAGAGATGCGCCTTTGCATCATGAGCCATTGTAGCACTGATTTTACTCCCTCTTGACAGCCTACAGCTTACAAACGTTATTTGTAGGCAAATGTCAGTCTATGTCTATCTATTTAAAAAGTTTAAGCTGGAAAATGCTGGGATATTACCTCTTTACCACTAGGTGTAAAAATGGCGACGGTGCCGTGGTATATGAAAAACATGCTGGTACCGATGGTCCCCGCGCTGATGATCACGTCCCCAGCCAAGTAAATCTCAGTCTTGAGCTGAGCGACGACCTTCATTAGAACGTTTTCGGGGAGGTGCCTGAAGAAGTCCACCTTCTCTATGTGTCTTCTCGTAACGTGCATTAGTATTTCCTAAAAAAAACCCATACGTAACAAAACATCATCAACTTTCTCATAAACTTCACAAAACCTGTCTTATGAATGGGGATATCATGTTATTTATGTCGGAGTCCTTGAAGAAGTACTTGTGGAATTTGAACTGGAAGTATGAAACGAATCTCCCTTGTAATTTTAACGGCAGCTCTTTGTATTTCATATATTCCTTAAACTGTTTATGCAAGGAATAACGTTTGTGGTCTGCATTCGCGTATTTAATCCAGACTTGTATTATCTGGGCTGCAAAAATAACGTTTTGAACTGATAAAACCTTCAATTTTATTACTACATTACAAAAAGGAACCAAAAAACTCGAGTTGTAAGAAATCTATGGAATAAAACAATTGTTTGAAAAAAAATCTTTAATTTTTGTGTATGTTTTCATAACTCATATCGTTTTTTGACTATTTGTAACTTCTTGTTATTCGTAATGGAAAATTACACCACCACAGTTATGTTTAATATTCATTAATTCATCGGAAAGTTAATGGTTTTCAAGTAGGGTTAACGTGGACCGTCCTTTGGGGAAGGCTTCACGAAATTTAGCAATATTTTTTGAACAAGTCCACTTAGAGTCGGGGCCATGTGTTGAGCAGGTATAAAGAAAAATATCGATATTTTTAATAACGCGCGAAACCAGGAGAAGAGCGTAGAGGTTCCAAAGTAGAATTAAATCAAATTGTTAAATTGATGGTAATTGGAAAAGAAAGTAACAGATCAAATAGCTGGTTTTTTGACGAATTTTCCAAGCTATAAGCATATATTAAATGAGATCGACTAATTCGTCCCGTATCGCTACACGGAGTCATTAGAGGAAGGCTAGGGTTATTTGTAAGTTTAGTCTCAAATTTATTTAGATAAATGTAAAATCAGTCAATTAGATAACTATTAACATGGCATAGTTATGCCAAAGCGTCCCGATATCCAGGGTTCCCGCCAGTAAGATAAGAATAGAAACGGCTGGACCCGAGAAATAGGCGTGTCGAAGCGAAGTGGCGAATTCAGGAGAGATCTACGAAATAAGGTCAGTTCCTCCTTAGGTTCCACATTGAGCAGTCGACTTAGTTTTAGAGTCTAGGGCTAATTAATTAAATGTAATAATGGATAAAGTTTTTTTCCAAATTTTGCTATGAATCTCGCATTCCCTGAATCTCGGTACGCTGCCGCGTGTCAATAAACTAATTAATAATGTTGTTCGAGCCGTTGTTATTTTGTTTGTTTGTTTTGTTTATTGTTATTAAAACTCTTCCTGGGAGTTTTGGTGATTCCTTTTGTTTCTCTCAACTTCAGTGGCACTTTGTGTAGCCAGCCACTGGATTAAATTCTACGTAAGCAATAGAGGGTAAGTACCTGAAATTTATTCTCTGAACATACAACATTTCTAAGTTCCCACATATTAATTAAAGTATAATGATAATTGTAACCTCCCTTTCGAGAATTGAATAGTAAACTCTTTTGAAATCCAGACTCGTTATGATACTGGTCATAACCATATATATAGATAAATAAAGAAATAATCCCTCAGGTTACAATTAGTCCACGTAATACTGTGTGGCAAATTCTGTACTAAATACCTTTTTCTACTTTTTCACGTTTTTTTCGAAAATGGACTATATATTCTTTTCTTTTCCCTTATTTTTTTCCTGTTACTCGATGTCTGCAATCGACTCACCGTACACAAACAGCTGCAAACCGAATCCGAAGCAGATGAAGATGAGGGTGTTGATGTACTCGAGGATATGTGTCATATTGTCCCTCAGAATGCTGACTATCATGAGGGTCGTGGTGGCGTCGAAAAAAATCTCAAAGATATCCTTCTCCGGTGTGTGGATCGACACATGGTACTGGGTAAGGAAATTTTCTACGAAGAAGTTAATGGCGAAGGCCCAGAACATCACCACGAGGAAGACGAGGATCACCCTAACGCCTTTGAAGAGGTAACTGGTGTATCCCATATACTAAAAACGCTACTTTTATACATATTTAAAGAAGAAGAAAATTACGCATGCGCATACCTGTCGAAATAACTCGGTCACCCTCAGCCATCTGGTTATCCTGATGATTTTCAGAATGCCGAATGTCCTGATGATCAGGGAGGTTACGACGCCGACGTTTACGGATAACCTGATCGGCAACATAAGGGAGTGCGCGCAAGACAGTACGTCGAAGATAAAATAAGTCTTTAGGTACCTCCTGAAACAAAAAAAAGCCACTTTATATGGAGGGCCAATTTAAGACACTCTCGGGGGTTTCTCGAATTTAATTTGAGGCTCTGAACACGTTGCCATTAGTAAAATTTACCCGCGACCTCGATATTTCTCAGAAAATCCATTACTTTGGTGAAAATTGGCCCAAATATGGGACAAAACTGATTTTTTCCTAAATTTTGTCCAAATATACAACATTCGTAGTATTTTAAGGTGCTGAACACGATGCAATTAGTAAATTAAATTTACCCACGACCTTGATATTTCTCAGAAAATCCATTATTTTGGTGAAAATTGTCCCAAATATGGGTCAAATCTGATATTTTTTTTAAATTTGTCCAAATATACAATATTCATAGTATATTAAGGAGCTGAACACGATGCAATTAATAAAATTTACCCACAACCTCGATGCTTCTCAGAAAACCCATTAATTTGGTGAACATTGGCCCAAAAATTTTGCCCTAATAAAGGATTTTTTGAAAAATATCGGTCATGGGTAAATTTTACCCATTGCGTCGTGTTCAGCGTCGCAAAATACTACGAAAATGATTTGGGCAAAATTTAGGAAAAAATCAGATTTAACCCAATCTGGGCCAATTTCCAGCCAAAAATTAGTTAAGCTGTGCCGAGCTCGATTATCGAAAAAGTTTAACGGAAAATAACTCTTCATGTCTTATTTTGTTTCAAGGATACGCAATGTTTTTCATGCTTTCCATTTTATATACCTTTTTACGTGGAATCCAATGGCGTACGCGAAATTTTTCTCGCAAGTTCCACGAAAAATCAGCTATTGGATTCTGATATAAAAGCTGAATAAAAAAATATTTTCATAAACACAGTCATTCGATATTAAAAAATTAACGAAAATTAATAATTTTTCCTTAAACGAATCGAGATATGAATGTGAGGCTTTTGTCGTATAAAATGTTCTACGAATCACCTTAACTGGATACATTTTGTCTCGTAAAATAAAAGAAACCTCCCAATAATGTTTTATCCACCTTTAAAAATCATTAATTTTCGAGACTTTCACCAACTTTTTCTGCGCACGCCTATGGTTCAAAGATGTTTAAGTATATAATTTCTTTATTTTATTTGTTCCCTTTTTATTTTTTTTATATTTTTAATGTTGTAGCCAAAGAAGTTACAGTATCATATAATCCAAGCTCTATAAAAACCCTTATTTTTGTCCAAGTGATATGGTTAATAGCTTGGCCTATTTTTTTATGATACCCTGTATATCAGTAGGTAACAAAAATTCAGTCTTAATGCATGAACGGACTTCTTTCTATACGCGAGTGTCAACGTATCCACCAAAATGTCATCTCATCTCTTGCATTTTTCGCTCATAATGTGGTTTGATTAAACTGAACTACAGTTTATCTAAAAATTCCGTTGTCACCCGATTTATCAAGGAAATAAAACTAAAGCTTATTACTTAGCTATTTTGCCAGGAGTAAAAATCACTTTGCTCTTGTCCTCGTCATAGAAACCAGTAAAAAATATCATCACCATATCAACCATATGCATCAGGTCCAAACCGAACTTGACCAAGTAAATATCATGGTCGTGTCCTATGACTAGTACGGACGCATCGATGGGAACAACCGCGTACAGGGCGGTAAACAGAAAGAACGTGAAGAACTCCCAGTACAAACTGAAAAAGAAACATGAGATAATTTGTCGTTGGGTGGCGCTGTATGGGCGATCGACGAAGCATAAACTATACAGGGTGTCTCCTAAGTACGGTCCGTAATTTCAGGCCACTATTTCTTATGGTATTTAAAGAAAGAAAGTCGTACAACAACTGCCAAAATTGAAGAACCTAACATTGACTGTTCCAAATTTATTTCAAATATTACTATATTTTTTTAAATTTTCAACACCTTGTATTTCGGAATCTGAGCGTTTCCATAAGAAATTGTGTTCTGAAGTTACGGGCCGTACTTAGGAAACATATGACATAAGACTAAAATATATGCGCACACTCCCGGCAAGTTTCCGACGTCATATGGAGATTAACTAACAGTTTGTGGATTTGTATATTTCTTGTTTGTTTGTACTATGTGTGTTTGTGATTGGTCTGCATCAAACTTTTGTTGGTAATTATTTATTATAGTATAAAACTCGAAATGAACCACGCTAATCACTCTCCATATGACGTCATGCGCCAAGCGAACTGACTTTAGCTCACAGGAATATAGACCAGGGCGATCTGTCGAAATATCCCACTTCTTGGATAAGAGGGGGCAAGATAATTTTTGCTCTAATACCTTCAATACAACTCGCATAATAAAAGTGTAGATCCCTAGATCTGGGCGAGGAACATTTTCAAAATTGCAAAAACGTAATTTAAAAAAATACCTATTTTATCTGAGTTTTTTACTTATATCTTGGAACCTATGCATTTTGGAAGAATATTGAAGACGAAAAAAAGTTTTAGAATTGAATTTTGCACAATATACTGTAAGTTAAAAATGTTAAAATTTATTACCGATGTTGCAAAATAGCAATAATTGATGAAAAAGGGCAAAATAATCAAGTTTTTTGAATAATTTTTTTAAAAATATTTTAATTGCTCCGAGGGCATTCTAATTTTGGTAAAAAAAAAACTTTAGAATATAATAAAACAACACATCAAATTTCATTAAAATCGGTTGGATAGTTTTCGCAAAATAATTTTTTGAAAAACATTTAGAAAAAATTTTTTCGAATTTTCAAAATGTTGCACAGGCTCAAATAAAGCATCTAGATACTTGAAAATTTTTTCACATAGAAAAGACCTCTCAACCTTTCAAATAGTTTCTGAAAAATTGAAATCGGTTAATTAGGACGACCGCAGTAAATTTTTAAAGTTAACACTCTTTTTTTATTTTGAAACAATTAGATACATTTATCAACTTGCAATTTAGCTTTTTTCGAAAATTATAATTATAAAGTACTCGGAAAGACGCTTCTTTAAAAAAAAAAAAAGTTAAATTCCGTTTATTGGTTCTCGAGATATAAGCGGTCAAAGTTTATCGGCATTAACCGTTAATTTATAAACAATTTAGCAATAATCTTTGATCCACTGGCTTCGTTTTTCCGAGTTCTAAGCTGGAAAAAATGTTCATATCCGTAAGTTATCGGCAACATAGATAAATCAGCGAAAAAGCTGTCGCTCGCAATTGCAAGAAGTGACTCAAAGCACGAAAAGTGGGGGAGGGGGCTTTCGATCCGATACTGAATTCGGAGGTTCAAAATGCGAAGGTACAAAAAAAAATGCATTATCTTGGCTTCTAACGGACCAATTTCGATCTTTTTTTTCCGATGTGTCGCGAGCCAAGGAACTCGAATATCGTAATGCCAACTGTCTAATTTACACATATTTTGTTATAAACAAAGTTAATTATTTATGCATTAAATTTACTGTATATTTTACCCTATGCTATTGCATTTTTCATTGAAAAAAATTGTTTACGTATATATTTCAACACTGAATATGAATGTATTTAAATAATTAAATTTTTTTTAAATTAGGCTTAATTTTTTAGCTTAAGTAACTGGAAATTTTGATGCAAATGCCGATTTAAATTTGTCCGACAGAAATTCTTCCGACATTGACGTGTCTACCGGTCGAAACATGCCAAAATAACAGGGTATTGAAAATCAATTACCATATAGGTAATTTTTAGTAAAATTAATTGTAAATAATTAATTCAGTCCAAAAGTATTGTTGTCCGACAAATTTCAAGCCACGCTTTTTCAGTCCGACAGCTGGAAATCGGAATTTTCACGGGGTATGATAAATCGATTACCACATGTCGGACAAAACTAACACACGATAGAAAAGTGTTTTTTATAAGCAAAAATTGTAATGTCCGACAAAAATATATCCGCAAATCGTCAGTCCGACAAAAAAAGATGAAAAAAATTTCGTAAAAAATGTGCACATGTATTTATAATTTCTAATAAGGTATTTTCATGTATTAAGCAAAATTCCATATAAATATACAATACAGGGTGTTTCAGAAAGACCTCCCGTAAATACAGGGGGTGAGGACGACAAAAAATAAGAATTTTTTGTCATATGAACTATATGTCTATCTCCTCTTCTCAAAGCTCAAGCTTACTTTGAGAAAAGTCACTTATTTTATAGTGTAATATTGTAAGAGTTTAATTAAAAGCCTTTTTTCTCGAAAATCGTCCACATTAGGAAGTTCTAACAAGAGTACATTATTTTTAGAAAATAAAATTGTACAATAGAAATTGGAGCCCGACTGGTAAAAAACCTAACCTTAAAAAAAATATAACTTAAATTGTAATAAGAATGTAGCATAACTAGCGCTTTCTATGAAATATACAAAAAATAATTAGACTAGCGTATTTGGCACCCTTAAAAACCTCGGGCTACCAAATTTCATAAAAATATTTCGCACTATTTGGAAATTTTCATAAAAATGTTATTTAAAAAATTTTATTTTGTCTCTCTGTATCTCGAAAACAAGAGGAGATAGACATAGAGTTCATAAGACAAAAAATTCTCATTTTTTATCATACTATCACCCTCTTTATTTACGGGAGGTCTTTCTGAAACACCCTGTATATATTTTTCGTTTTATTCTTGTAATTGTAAATCTCTATATGCTCAATTTAGCCAAATAAATATCGAGAAAAGAATTAAACGATTTCAAAAAAGTATGTATGGTGTAAAAAAATTATGCACAAAAGTTTTGGGATTTTCTTTTAGAAAAATAGGAAAATTTTTGTAAAGAAAAATAACAAACGCGAATGAAAACTTGAAAGAGAAAAAAGGATTTTTATATCAAGTATAATATTAATTTATTTAGAAATAATGCATTATGCACTAAGATCGTATTAATCGCCTCAAAAATAACTTCATTTGTTTATAACTTTTAAATTTTTAAGCATAAAATAAGCAATATTATAATTATTTATTTGAAACAAATAATAATTTACATAATAATAATTAATAACCATTTATAAATATGAAATTTTTGGAGTGAAAAAATTAAATTTCATCACGTTGATTGATTTATTGATTTTTTAATAATTTGCGGACATTAAATCGTCGGACACTTATATCACTATTTTGTACAGTAAATTTAAAAGTGGAAAAAATGAAAATTAGATATGTGGTAATCGATTTTTCATACCCCGTGAAAATTCCGATTTCCAGCTGTCGGACTGAAAAAACGCGGCTTGAAATTTGTCGGACAACAATACTTTTTGACTGAATTAATTATTTACAATTAATTTTACTAAAAATTACCTATGTGGTAATTGATTTTCAATACCCTGTTATTTTGGCATGTTTCGACCGGTAGACACGTCAATGTCGGAGGAATTTCTGTCGGACAAATTTAAATCGGCATTTGCAACAAAATTTCCAGTTACTTAAGCTAAAAATAAAAGATGTGGTCTTGACTTTTCAAGACCCCGGGAAATTGCCATGTTTTTGGACTTTTCCGAGTGGAAAGCGAAGGAATCGAGAAAAGTCGCAGAGGAAAAATGTGGTAGACTCGTCAAAACGAAGCCCCTCAGGAGTTATAAAGTATGTGGTAATCAACTTTCCAGAGGGGGCTGTACTGTGGACTATATTTTTTCACAAGCAATTACATACCTCATCAAGCTGAACGGGTGTATCATACGGTTGTGGCGTACCAGGTGCCTCACTTCTTCGTTGCGGCACGAAGCGTAGGACTTAAAATACCTCGATGTCTCAGGATGGTTCCTACTGATCATACATAAGGAGCGTAACTTTCTTCGCCAAGTGATGAAGATTCCGCTCTCCATGAAATGAGCGACCACGTCTTCTTGCAAGTTTGTGAGCATACAATCGTGGTCTTCAAATCTCGGCATGTCCGGTGTTGAAGAAGATTAATAAGCCAAGAAAACCTAAACGAATGTATTGAATTATTTACTAGTTACGATGCTTGTCAATCTGACAATTTGCGGATGGCTGGATGAAAAATAACTTGCGTATATCGATAATTACTTAGATTTTCATTACTATCTAGCGAGGTTAAGATCCCATGCTTGGGTCACGTTGTTCTGGCTTCCTAACCTCACCGAAGCAACCAAGCCTTCTTCTCGCGACCTTCTTTAAATTTATAAAATAATCTTGATCTTATTAACCGCTCGTGCTCGGAATGGTGCGATGCAGATATTCAAAAACAACCCTAAACTAAATTAAACAATTGAAGGCCATAACCTAAAAACTGTGTCACAGTGTAAAGACCTTGGCGTTACCATCACATAATTGTAATATACAGGGTGTTGGTAAATAAGTGCGACAAATTTCAGGGGGTGATTCTACATGAGAAAATAATGGCAGTTTGCTTATAAACGTATGTCCGCAAATGATTCGTTTTCCGAGATACGGGGTGTCAAAGTTTTTCTTAAAAACTGACGATTTAATTTATTGCTCTGAAACCGGTCGAGATGTGCAAATGAAATTTGGTGGGTTTTAAGAGGTAGTTATTGCGCATTTTTTGACACGCAATTAAGAATTTTATGTTCATCATTGGCGCGCGTACGGGTAATAATCTCAATTTTTTTAAAGAAAAAAATGGTACGCCACTGAGATATTACAAATTAAAAATCATTTTTGAATTCCTCGTTCAATTTGTGACAAAAAATCTCTCTTGCCTTTTCTTCGTATGGGGCGCCGTTTTGATGCAAAAAAATAAAACATCTTAACGCGTATTTTTTATTTCTTTAATACATTACCTAGTAGGCTACTGTCAACATTTGTCTGTTAAATACGAATATTTTTAAGAAATGTCAAATTAGCGTTTCGTCATTATTAATTTATTAAGCTTTTAGTTTGCTATAACATTAGTGTTAATAAGTAATTAATTTTTCTTTTATCGAAAAGAATGGAAAATTTTACAAATGCGGAATTGTCAGACATGCATTTTGTCTATGGTCGAAGTAATGGAAATGGTCGGCAAGCTCGACGATTGTATGCTGAGTTGTATCCAAGACGTAGGGTACCTCATCACATAATATTTGCTCGTCTTCATCAACGTTTGCGCGAAAATGGTTCATTTAAGAAACAAACGGTTGACTGTGGGCGCCCTCGAGAAGTACGAACTGTGCAACTAGAAGAAGCAGTTCTCGAGTTAATTGCGGAGTCACCTGAAACAAGTACTCGAAAAATTGCCAACATATTGAATGTAAGCAACTTCACTGTATTTAAAATTCTTAAAGAACAGCAATTGTATCCGTTTCATATTGAACGTGTGCAAGCTCTACTACCTAGAGACTTTTTTCCGCGCCTATTTTTTTGCCAATGGATTAATCATCAAATCGCTCAAATTCCTAATTTTTTAAATGCCGTTTTGTTTACTGACGAGGCTACTTTTGGACGACAGTGTATACGAAATTTCCATAACAATCACTTATGGGCTGAGGAAAACCCCCATGGAATCTTTGAAGCTCATTTTCAGCATCAGTTTTCCGTAAATGTATGGCTTGGGGTAATTGATGATCATTTAATCGGTCCATATTTCCTCCCACAACGACTAACAGGCGAATCTTATCTTAATTTCCTACAGGAAGAGTTACCTGTTCTTCTTGAAGAAATTCCTCTACAGCTGAGACAACACCTATGGTACATGCATGATGGTGCACCAGCCCATTTTAGCATTAATGTACGTAATCACTTAGACACAGTATATCCAAATCGTTGGATAGGTAGGGGAGGTACGGACCATTGGCCTGCTCGATCGCCGGATTTAAATCCTCTTGATTTTTGCATTTGGGGTTTTCTTAAGTCATTAGTTTATTCCACTCCCGTTAAAAATGTTGATGAGCTGAGGAATCGAATTATAGTCGGCTGTGAGACAATAAGAAATATACCAGGAATATTTAATATCCTTTAGTACTGTTACTTTGACATAAACTTTAACCTGATATATTATTTCCTTTATAATTGCAGTGTTAAAGGAAATAGACTATCAACTTGCAATTTTGCTAACACTGCGATTATGAAGGAAACAAGATATCAGGTTACAGTTTATGCCAGCATGGCAGTATTATAGGAAATAGACTATCAAGTTGCAATTTTGTTATAATACAATAATTATAAAGCAAATAATATATCATGTTACTGTTTGGAGGTCACTGACCTTGAATGATGCAATACCGGATAAGAATGACGCAATACTGTTTTAAATTTTAAATTTACCGCCATTTTCCCGCCAAATGCTGCGCTCTGATTGGCTGGGCGAGGAAGGGAGGGGGAAGGGAAAAGATGGAGGAGTGGGGGTAAAATTCGTCAAAAATGACCAGGATAAGAGCTTCCTGAACATTAAAAAATATTTTATTTTTGATAAATTCTGAATCACCGTGTATTACACTCAAATAAAGACGTATACTGCTTAAGACGTCTCTGGCTCAAACCGTTTAAAGTTATTTGAAAAAATATTTTCTTGTGATCTTGAAGTTATCGAAATAAAAACTGTTACACCTTGTTCATTGCAAGATAACTCGATGCTGGTCGGGACATTCGTCAGCAGAGTAGTTGTTTCCCTCAATTTCATAAGTTTAAAAGAGTTTTTATCACTCCACGCCATTCCGAAGCTGACTGTAATTGAAAAATTAAATGAAACAGAAATAGAAAAATATGGTAATTTTTAATACATTTATTTTTCCATCGAACTACAATAACTTTCAATTAATACAATAGTAAACTAAGCGTCATATAACTTTCAACAACTACCTCATAACCTCAAACTAAACAGTGACGATGGAACTAACAAACGTCCCGTTTCTAACATTTACGTATGAGTAATGGCCTTATGCAACCTCTCTGCAGCTAATGTCATAAGCTGATCCTTGCATTCGGGATATGGATCGATTGTGGCCAAAAAATCGGTACGCCTCAACGTGAACAGTTCGCTGGCGGTGACTGCTACGACGTTGGCGACTCGAGTCTCGCTAAGGATCAGGGCTATCTCACCGAAGTGGGCGCCATCCTCCAGATGGCAAATCTGAAAATTATAATAATTAAAAAAAAACAGTGATAATATTGGTCAAACAAAATAAAACATTTTTTTTATTATTTATATCCAATCACTAATCGATTTCACCCCTAACGGGACCTCCCCCACCTCCCTTGATAGGATCAAGGTCAATTAGAGGTCAGATTGAGAAAAGGTGTATGAAATTAAAGGATCTCGGACTTTAGGTTATTTGGGCCATTGAGTCCGAGTCGAAGGTTAGTTTGTCTGTATCAGGCCATTTTAAGGTTGTTTCAAGATCATTTCAAGATCAAATTGAGAAAAAATCGAGCAATCAAGTCCGACCACATGTTATACAGGATTTTGGGGTCGTTGAGTTCGAAACCTAGGTCAGTTTGTCTGTATCAAGCTATTTGAAGGTCGTCTCAAGGTCATTTCAAAGTCTTTTCTCAAATCAACCTTGGAATGACCTTAAACCTGATTTGATACAATCATATAAACGGACATTGGATTCAAACTCAGAGACTTCAAAAACGGTCATCGATTTCTCGGTTGTTTCTTGGTTTAACCTTTAAATGACCTTGAAATAACCCTCAAAGGACCTGATGCAGACAAACTAACTTCGGATTCGAACTTAGCTATCTCAAAAACCTATACAACAGTCGGTTAGACTAATTGCTCGTTTTTTCAATTTGACTTTGAAATGACCTTGAGACGACCTTTAAATGACCTGATACAGACAAACTAACCTCGGATCCTAAACCAGCGACCCCAAAACCCTGTATATAAAAATATAAATAATAAATTATAATAATAATATTAGTAATAAATAAATATAAATATAAATAATCATTTTTTTTTGTTAAAACTAAAAGGGGACGAAAACCGGCCTAATTGACCCTCCCCCTTTGTATATCAGTATATTTTTTTATTATTTATTTGTATATCGGTTATAAAAGTTTTGGTCACCACAAGAGCATTTAAAACGTAGGTCGTTTCCGCGCGAGAAATGTGACGTCACAACGTGCGTGGTAAGTTCTATCGAATCGTAACCTAATGTAAGCATTGCATTCTGGTGTTATACTTTTAACCTTAATTTTTTAAGTATTTACTTGTATTAGTTAAAATAAATAAGTATCTACAAACTATTGTTATTTTTTATACAGGGCATCCGCGTTTTTTGTAGCAGGACTTTCACAACTTGTACTAAAAGTCCTTTAAAAAAAAGTTCATGTAAACATATATGTATAGATGCGTCGTTTTCGATTTACAGAGTGTTCAAGTTTAAAATGAGAATTGATTTTTTATTCGTAAAACGAAAACCCCTTTTTAGACTTTGTTGAGTCGCACAAGATACCAGCTTGATAAAAATAGAAAAAAATATGGTACGCCACTGCTCTTTGGTAAGTTTGAAATATTTCTCAGATTTAGCCATCAAAAATACAACTTTTTTTGTTATTTACTTTTTTTCCTATCTCGCTTTGTTTAGACAGAAATAAAACTTTTTGTTTCACGCAGTTTATTGTAAGATAATTAAAAAAATAAACAACACGGTGTGGAAAAATAACTTATTGTATAAATAGACCTCAAAGGAGCTGTTCGAAATGCCCGCCATTTCGTTCTACACACAAATTATAGCGACGTATCAAACACCGTCTAACGTATCTCAAATGATGTGGAGTTATTCTGAGAGCAGCGTTCCAGATTCGTCGTACAAGTTCCTCTTGCGAGTTAACAGGCGTAGAGTAAACTGCATCCTTAATAAATCCCCAAACAAAAAAATCCAAAGGCGTTAGATCAGGCGATCGCGGAGGCCACCCAACTGGACCTCCACGATCCGCCCATCTCTGTGGATACTCTGTATTCAGCCAGTTTCGTACCACAAAAGAGTACTGGGAAGGGCATCCATCTAATTGAAAAAACGAGTCTATTCTTTGTTGAAAAGGAACATGGTCTAGCATGTTATCATGCTGGGTAGTTAGAAATTCAAGAAATAATTGACCGCTAAATCTATTGGGCACGATGGTAAGGTCCCAACAAAAAATCCTTGGCAACTCAAAAACAGACATATTCACGGCGCACTTTGTAACAAGTAAATAAATAAATTAAGCAAATCTCGAACCTATTCATGAAAATGTTTTATTTCTGACTAAACAAAGCGAAATAGGAAAAAAATTAAATAACAAAAGAAGTTGTATTTTTGATGGCTAAATCTGAGAAAAATTTCAAACTTATCAAAAAGCAGTGGCGTACCATATTTTTTTCTATTTTTAGCAAGCTGGTATCTTGTTGTGACGCCACTGGAGAAAATAGGACAAATTAAATTACATAGTCTAAAAAGGGGTTTTCGTTTTACGAATAAAAAATCAATTCTCATTTTAAACTTGAACACTGTACACGCATCTATACATTTACGAGAAAGACGTAAAGGTTCTAAATTAGAATTAAATTAAATTAATAAATTGATAATAATTGGAAAAGAAAGAATAGATCAATTAGCTGGTTATTCGGCGGATTCTTTCAAGCTATTAAGAAGATATTAAATGAGATTGACTAATCCGCCCCGTAATTGCTACACGGAGTCACTGGAGGAAGGCTACATTACATTCTACGTAAGCAATAGATGATAAGTGCCTGAAATTCATTCTCTGAACATACAACATTTCTAAGTTCCCACGTATTAATTAAAGTATAATGATAATTATAAGCTCCCTTTCGAGAATTAAATAATAAACTCTTGTGAAATCCAGGCTCGTTATGGTACTGGTCATAACGACAGATAGATGGATAAAGAAATAACCCTCCAGGTTACACTTCTAGCCGAATGCGTTCTTTCTCAATCCCTTGCATATCTGCCCGAGTCAGAAACCCAAATTTATTTGTATCGGTCTGTATACAGGGTGTTATAAGTACGTGGCCAAACTAAGACGAAAAGTTTATTTAAAATGAAAATGCTGGGCTGTTACCTCTTTACCACTAGGTGTAAAAATGGCGACGGTGCCGTGGTATATGAAAAACATGCTGGTACCGGTGGTCCCCGCGCTGATGATGACGTCCCCAGGCAGGTAAATCTCGGACTTTAGGTGGGCGACGACCTTCATCAGGACGTTCTCAGGGAGGTGCTTGAAGAAGTCCACCTTTTCTATGTGGTTTCTCGTAACGTGCATCAGTATTTCCTAAAAAAAACATATAAGTAACAAAACACCATCAACTCTCTCGTAAACTTCACAAAACCTGTTTTATGAAGGGAGATATCATGTTGTTTATGTCGGACTCCTTGAAGAAGTGCTTGTGAAACTTGAACTGGAAGTAGGAGATGAACCTCCCACGTAAATTTATCGGCAACTCCTTGTATTTTATATACTCCTCAAATTGTTTATGCAGAGAATAACGTTTGTTGTCTGCATTCGCGTATTTCGTCCACACCTGTATTATTTGGGCTAGAAACAACGTTGTTAACTAATAAAGGTATTAAAGTAATAAAAAAAGCCAACAATATTCTTCCATACCAGAAATTTAGATGGGTAAACCACACAGAAAAAACTCCTCACGTTTGTGTGGTCGCTGAATCCGAAGCCGGTGTCCGTTTGACGAAGCTGGCTTGTGTTCAAGGTTATTTGAAAGTGAAATCATGTTTTTTACGGTAGGATTTCTGACCTTGGATTCTGAAAGAACGAGGAATTTTATGTTCGGATACGGATTTATTTTTATAATATTCTTAAATCCAAATGGCTGCGATTTAACCAAAATAGCTTAAAGAAAAAATGTCGCAAAAAAGTTATACATTTTTTGTGTAGCCTTATTTATACAGGGTGATTCAAAAAACCGCTGACAAACTTCTAGGGTAGATAATACATACAAAATTAAGTCGAAAAGTTTTAATAAACATAGGGTCGCAAATGCCTCCTTAACGAGATACAGGGCGTCAAAGTTTCTGTAAAATTAAACATTGTCTGCAATAATTCCAAAATGCCTGAACATTTCTATTTCAAATTTGTTATGCGTACTTTGCACCTTAAGACCAATGTTTGATGTACTGCTCAAAATTTTATGAGCAGCAGTGTCGTAGAGACGGGGTCAACGTGACCCTTTTTTAAAAATATTTTCTACGCCACTGCTAATTTTGTCAAAAGGCACTATTTTCGTGTAAAGTGTTCAATTGTCTATCGAA